TTTATTTTAGTTGTTTATATGATGATTTATTTTAGTTGTTTATATGATGATTTATTTTAGTTGTTTATATATAAGTTGTTTAAAGTTTCTAAAATTTTATTGGTTTCATTGAAATTAAAGATATAAGCGTTGATTATTATAATTCTTACTATTGGTATGCATAATATTTTAAAAATAATTTTTTCTTTTTATGTAAACATTTGCAATGTATCTTTTGGATTTTATTTATATTATCTCCGCTTTTATGTTGTCAGTATATATTGGCATTTTTGTGCGTGTATAAATAGTGTCTTTTAATTATGAAATAATACAGTTTTATTTAAAATAATTTTAATAATATAAGTATTATATTGCTTATAAATTAATGTTGTAATATTATTCGGTAGATATACAAGACTTTCTTTACATTTTTTTAGACGGCAATAGGCACAACGAGCAACCTTAGTTTTTGTTCGTAGTACAGTTATAGAGTATTTAGATACACACTTCTTATTACCTGCCAAAACATGCAGTTGTTGTAAAAATAGACATTTGCCTTTTTTTGTTCATTAACAGTGGTAAGTCATTTATTATCACTTTTCAACTAGTCAATGACTAATTTAAATTAAATATTTGTTAACCACAAATCTTTAGTGTTTTGAAAAGGTGCAAAAATTGGTTTTGCAACTTTACAAGGGGTAGTAATCGTTTTAAGGAATTTTGTAATGAGCCCTGTGTATGAATTGCACCAATTTTCCCCGTCTTTGCATCATCAAGTCCTACTCCAAGTAATTCTTTTACTACTGTTTTAAGTAATTTAGATAATTTATCACTTGAACACATATGTAATTTATCCCAACCAAATAACAAGCTTTTATTTTCTAAACATTCTATCAACAATGTAAAATTTGGCAAGAATCAAGAAAAGTAATGAGTCCTAGAAAAAAAAATTGAATTCCAGATTGTCTTATTTAATTTCTCAGCTTGCTGTCACATCTGTCAAAAAATTTAAGAACTTTAACAACTAAAATAAGTTTAAGTGAAATGCTTAGGATGCAATGAAAAGTACTAGTATATCAAGACTTTTTTTGAAAAAGATATTTTTCCAGGGTAAGTTATAAGAGAAGTAAAAGTAAAATAGTATTTTTCAGACATCTTACCAATTAGTTACCAATTAGTTACCAATTAGTTACCAACTCTTTACCAATTAGTTTTTGGTTTGCATTTTTTATAATGACCAAAGTTGCAAATACTTAGCCTACGGCAAGTACTGAATATTTTACTCTTCTGATTTATCATAAAATTATATGAAGAGTAGTGTAAATGTCCTAGAAAAGTCATGAAATTTTATTTTTAAATTTGAATGGCCATTCTATAAAATATTTGCTTATAAAAAAATTGTAAAATATGTTTTTAATAAAGTTTGTCATTATTTTAAAACCAAAATAACCAATAAATTTTCATTTGTTAAAATTAAAAACTTTTGTAAGTACTGAGTGTTTAATTTTCTTTTTTTAATTTCTTTTTTTCTTTCATTTCCATGCATATGTGTAAAGCAGTTGATTATCTAGCTTTTTGTCTATCAAACAAACTCTTTGACTAAGATGAGGTAATGTCAAATAAAATTGTTGGACAAAAACTCTGCCATGAATGGTGCGATAGTAAATATTCGAAGTATGTCATGTATAATGGTACACTCTCAATTAAAAGGTGTAAAATTATATCGTTTTGGTGTTAATATAACCTCAAACGGTGTTTTTTGAAACTTTTTTTTGCAAAAAATGTAAATTTACACCGTTTTGATGTAATTATACACCTTAAAGGTTAGTTTTTGATAAAATCGTGTAAAATAGCACCTTTTTTTAATCACTACACCGTTTTAAAAAGGTGTAAAAATCAAATTTTGTAGTGTTTTTTTCTTTTACACCTTTTAATAAAAACGGTGTAAAACGGCATTAAGCTGTTTTACACCGTTTTACACCGTTTTTAATAAAAGGTGTAAAAGAAATAAACACCACACACTATTAATTAAAAGGTGTAAAATTACACCGTTCTAGTGTTAATATAACCTAAAACGGTTTTTTTGAAACTTTTTTTTCAGAGTGTATAATTACACCAAAACGGTAAATTTACACCGTTTTGGTGTAATTATACACTCTGAAAGTCAATTTTTAATAAAACGGTGTGAAATAACATCTTTTTATAATCACTACACCGTTTTAAAAAGGTGCAGTGATTATAAAAAGATGTTTAAATAGGTGTGTTTTTTTCTTTTACATCTTTTATTAAAACGGTGTAAAACAGTGTAAAACGGTGTAAAGCTGTTTTACACCGTTTTACACCGTTTGATTAAAGGGTATAAGCTTTACAATACTCAATTTTTACACTTTTTTGAAACGGTGTAGTGGTTCAAAAAAGTTGTTATTTTTCACAGTTTTATTAAAAATTAAGCTTCAGAGTGTACACTTTTAATTGGTGGAGAAGAGGGACACGCAAATTTTTTTTAGGGTAATTGCAATATCTTTATTTTTGATGCATAAACTAAACTAAACAAATTTTTACGAATAAACCTTTTTTTAGGCACCGGTTCAATCTCCTTAGGTTTCCAGCCATTTATAAATAAGTATGTAAATTTTTGTTTTTTGAGAAACCGTCCCACTAGGGTAAAGGGGAACAAGTGTGAGTAGAAGTGTGACAAATAAATTTAAAACAAGATTTTAACACAAGTTATTAAATAGAAAAATCTTAAAATCACCTAATCGACATAAATATGTTTAAGAGCTTTCACCTATCGAAATAATGAAATAGCAGCGGTAAGAAGCGGGTCATAAAATAATTATTTTCTCTGTCCTGTCCTGTCTGTCCTACTTCACCCCCACTAAAAACACTTTCTTAAGGGACATTTCAAAATTAGAGCTGCTAGCGAAGAATGGAAAACAAGCAATTTCTGCTAAATTAAGGAGAATTTTAATTTTTTAAATTAAATAACAGTATTTAGGCACCACTCCTAATTAAAAATTCCACTTATCCCGCGTCCCACTTCTCCCAACTTTTCTCTAAAGCTGTTTTACACCTTTTTACAAAGTTATAATTTCAGTTTTATGCTGTTTTACAAAACGGTGTTTTTCATAAAATGGTGTGAGCTTTATCAGTTACACGGTGTAAAACTGTTAACACTGTAAAGCTGCTTACAAAACGGTGCCACAAAACAGAGCAAAAGGCTTTTGCAAATCTTTTTCAAATCTTTTTTTATTGAGCAGCTTTATATAAAAGTGTATCAACATTAGATGGTGTAGAGTTGTTTTACTTTTTTTTTCAAAAGTGGCCAACAGTTTTACACCAAAAACATAAACTTATTAATAAACTTTGCTAGGCGCATTTTTAGTGTTTAACGTTTTATTGTGGCATGATTATTACCATATATTGGGCAAATGTCTTATTAGTAGTATACATTGTACATGTCTTATTAGTAATATATATATATACATATATATATATATATATATATATATATATATATATATATATATATATATATATATATATATATATATATATATATATATATATATATATATATATATATATATATGCGCTACTCGACTTTCTTCCCCCCCTCCCTCTCCTGTTTTTATGATTGATTTTGATAGAGTACATTATACTGATTCTAAATCATATAAAACTGAAAACTTGAGAAAAGTACTCTTATTTGATGTTAAAGTATAAAAATCCACATTTGCCGTCTTAGTCAAATTTTTTTTCAATAACAACTTTAAAAAACCATGGATTCTATCGACGCTTTAATTTAAAACGTATTTCTTATTGATTTCCTGCCCCAACCAAACCCTGACCAAATCATGCACATTTAATTGCGCCAATTCCTATTTGTCAGTAGATATATGTACATTTATTTGCGCCAATCCCTAACTGTCAGTCGATGCATGTACATTTAATTGTGCCAATCCCTATTTGTCAGTCGATGTATGTACATCTTAAAATATGAAAACGACAATAATAACCGGGTCGTTAGTTTAAATAATAATTACCTAAATTTTGAAAACAGTGTTAAAAATGATTTTAAAAAGATGGTGGAATATTAGCGTTTATAATGTACTCTATAAAAATCAATAATAAAAATAGGGGGGGGGGGGAGAAAGTCGAATAGTGCATATATATATATATATATATATATATATATATATATACCATATAAATAATGATTATTTGCATCTAATATTCCTAAAAGTATAATTGTTAAACCAGATACAACACTATCATTATATATATAATGGTTTCATATATTCTGTAGCTTACAGGGAATTATTCCCTATATATAGTTTGGATATTATAATTTATAAATATTTTTTGTTATCTATTGCTAAGTTGAACCCAAATTTTCAAAATTTGTGTTCAACTTAGCAATAGATAACAAAAAATGTTTATAAATTATAATATCCAACTTGTGACAAACACAAATGCAATAACTGTGTGTACAAAAGAGTGAATATAAATTGATGAAGATGAGAAGCTGCATGAGCTGGATTCTAGTACACAATGTTGATAAGATGGTTAGTTTTTTTATCTATATCAATTAAACAAAAGAAATGTTTTCATTGATTTTATATTTCATTATGTATACTTTTGATATCATATTTTAAAATGATATTTCAAATCGTATACCAACTTTTACTTTTAAAAGCTTTATTTGCCAACATGTGTTATTGAATTTTTAACATATACTAAATACCGATAGAAATAACCACATATTTTGTTAAATAATATATTATTTTGATGAATACAATTCTTATTATTATTAAGTTATTGATAGGGTAGAGCGGGGCACGTTGTCATACTTTTTATATTTTTCAAGATATTTCAAAAACTAATTGGTCAATTTTCGTAAAAACTATTTTAAAACAACTTTGGAAAGCTTCAGACCATTTGAGTATAACATGCCACCATTTCTAAAGAAGGCTCCATGGTATGACAACTTGCCCCACCGTCGGGGCAAGTTGTCATAATTATATTTTATCACAAGTGTAGGTCTAAAAGGTAAAAAAAATATTTTCAAATAGAAAACAAGTAATATATTAATCATTTATAAATTATTAAAAATAACATATAAATTATATTATAATTTTTACTCTAAAACACTTTGAAAATGGCCATTAATAATCATCATCAGTCACAGTTATGGCAAATGTAGCTGGACCATCCTGCTGTACATTCTTCATGTGCCTAGCTTGAGCGCACACAGTATTTGATCCATTTTTAAGCATCTCTGCTATTAGCCCAAGTATCCATGCAAATAATACAGTAGGTTTCATCTTCTGATGATGATGATGAGTCTTGTGTATGCTTTTTTTTTGCTTTGCCTTTTCCCTTAGCAGAACTTTTGCATTTTTTTTGACAGTGGTTGTGCTGATCTTATAGAATTTTTGAAAGGGGAATCAGTCAATATAGACAAAGTTCTCTTTTTGCGTGTGTTTTTGGAAGGCTTTCTTTCTAGTGCCTTTGTAATAGCCTTACTTTATCTGGAGATGCAAGCTCAAAGCATTCAGAAATTGATTTGGCTTGAGATGTTGAACGCTCTTGTGATGACAAAGTCAAACTTGAAGTTGAAGCACAAGTGGATTGTTCTGGTGAGACTGTAACCTCTGAAGCTTGAGGCATTGTTAATTGAGGATTTATTTTGACTGGCATAGACATTTCTGTTACTGAACTTGGAGCAAAGTCCAAACCTGTAAATATTTGAGGATTAAATGGTTGGATGCCACAGGAAGAAAATCCGCTCAGTATGTTATTTGGGGTCATGCTCAATGGAAAGGCAACCTTCACTATCTCTGGAATATTGTAAACTGTCATACTCTTTCCAAGGTTACTGACCATCCAACTGTTGATGGCTGTATTTACAGCCTTTTTAAAATGGCCATAGACTGTTCTATCTAGTGACTGCAACTTGTGGGTGCATTGGGGTGGAAAACTTAACATAATAATTCCATGTGCTGTCGCATAGTCTAGTGCATTCAATGACAAGTGCGAAAAGTGATTGTCAACCAGTTGCAAAACTGGATGCTCCGTTGAAGGCCGTGCATTCTTTACAAAATGAGTAAGAAATTTACAAAAAGTGTCTTCCTTCGTCCAACCAAATGGATTTGCGTCCTCATCACTGCCAGGTGGTCCAGAAGTTAAAAAGTGGTCCCTAAAATTGACTCTCGGAAATACAAAAAAAGGTGGAATACTGTTACCAATAGCAGAGGCAGCACATGCCAAGGTAACTAAAGCACCTCTTTCTGCTGAGGTTAATACCCCAACTTGCTTTTGACCCTTTCTTGAGATCATTTTATCAGGCTTTTGAACTGTAGTTACCCCTGTTTCGTCCATGTTCCAAATATCTGCTGGTGTGAATTGGTGACGTTGAAGACACACCTGAAGATTATTGAAAAACATTTCAACATTGTGTTTGTTGAAACTTATGGCACGTGCAATGCTTGTGGCCTCTGGAGCTCTTAAAGACAATGTCGGATTTTTTTGGAGGAAAGACGTAAACCAATCTCTCCCAGCACAATAATTTTCCATCCATGATTTTGGCATAGCCAATTTATTAGCATCTGCTAATTGATATGCTAGTTTCCTAACATCTTTTGGTGTAAGGCCAAAGTAAATATCTGAAGCTCTTTGCAAGTAGCTACAGAGTTCAAGATGAAGCTCCTGTGTCAACACTTGCCTGAAATAATATAAAATATATACCAGTATAAATACTTATTTTATGGAGTCACTTATAATAACAAATATTATAATCCTTAAACATATTAACAATCTACAAACCTAGGTTGTACGTAGCCAGTGTGAAATGAAGGTGTTGTCAATTTTTCTTGAAAATCTTCTGTAGAGGCTTTTGACAAATAGCTTTGTAGGCTTCTATAGTTGATGTTGAAATCTAGAGACACCTGGGCTATGCTTCTGCCATGTAACTTTACAGCTTTTACTGCTTCAAGGATTATGCAGTGGTACCTCTACTGGTTTTCCTTTGATTATTGCGAATCATGATTTAAAATCTGATAAAGCAAAAAAAAAATGTTAGGATAAAAGTCCAAGTAAGCAAGACTTTATAACTGTCTAATGTCAATAACTATCACTATCATTTATTAATGTTTACTAAGGCTTATTATTAATCTTAAATATTATGCCTAATTCATTTTATTGATGTTTATTACTTATAATAAGCATTGTATGTATTATTAACATTCATTTAAGACTTTTACAACTATATGAAAGTATGGAGGCAATTTTTTTTTATGACAACTTGCCCCCTTTAAAATAGGACAACTTGCCCCACAGGGGGCAGAGGAAAGTTTGACCTAAATAACTTTTTATACTTGCCGTGAATCTGAAAAATGGCTAGCACACCAATAAAAGAATTTCCAAAACTATAAATGTTTTAATGTATTAAACACAAATATTGCATATTGTTACTGTATTAAACATTTGAACAAAAAAGTTAAAAAGTTACTTACTAACGAAATTTTTACTTTTTTTGGATTTGTAGAAAAACTATTCGCGCGAATTTCATGAAATCAACTGAGCAGTCATCTTTCAGCACCATTTATATAATATAAAAAAATCGCAGCACCAATCCAGCTATAGCGAAAATAGCGACTATGACAACTAACCCTTATGACTTTTAGCCCCGCTCTCCCCTATTATTAACAATAAATTAAATAACAATTATGTTTTGAAAATGAAATTGCTGGTATTGTTACTAACAAATATATGAATGAAATTATAAATTTGTATAAAGCATTAAAAAGTATTTTTACATGGTGTATTTGTGTTATTTATTAATATTTTTTTTTTAGAATTTGTTCCATGTAGGTACGTGCGTATCCAATGAGTTACGGCACCGATTATGTAATCAAAATCTTTGACTATTTTATCAAAGCGTCCTTAGCGTTTAAGTTGTAAGAATGTATTTTGTTGTGTTATTTTTTAGGATTTTATATCAGCATAGACTTTTTTGAAAAGTGGAAAAGTTAAACTTCATTTTTGGATAGTTTTTTTTTTGTAGTTACAACCGCTTTTATTGAATTTACTTTTCTTAAAAACTTCGTTGTTGATCACACGTTAAATTAATATTGAAGGAATGCTGAGAACATTTTTAAAACTATTGAGAAAAACTTATTTTTTACGTGCATGCCAAATTTTATTGAAGAAGATTATGTACCAGACACCTAATTTTTTGTAGTAGAATATGTACCTTAGTTAAAATATTGTAAATAAAGCAAAATATTGCGCTTCTAGCAACAAAGTTCCATAACAAAACTACTGTTAGTCGAAACTGACATTTTAAAACTGTTCGCAGATTTTTTAAGCAATCTTTGTAATCGAACTTTGTTACTTAAATGAGCATAAGTTTTTGTAGAATTGCTATTTTGTTATGAAATTTTCACTATTGCAATGCTGATTTTAGCCTCTTTTTAATGATATATAATAATCAATAATAAAAAAGTTTAAAATTTTTACACACGTGCCTATTCCATGTGTTATTCAGTATCATACTTCTCCTAAATAACATCAATATCACATCTTCTCTCTCAAATTAAATATTGAATAATAAAAAGAACTTCAGTTTCTCTTTCGCTAGGATGAACTGGAAGCTGAAGTAGGAAGTAGGATCATCAGGAAACAAGGAGTAGAAGAAAAAAAATGTTTTTTTTTGTCTTAACTAAGATCATTTGGATACAGAAGTACAAGATCTTTAACTTTACTTGACTAAACAATTATTTACTGTTTGTTTAGTCTGAATTGATGTCAGGCAGACACCAGATGCAGAAAATTATTCTACATTGCTGATTCAGAGCTTAAAATCTCTCTGTAATTTGATGGATTAAGGTAACAAAGTAAATATTAAAAAAAATTTTATTGGATGTTTTCAACTTTTTATTCGACATTTTCAAATTTTTTTTGTTATCTGATGATGCTCCTTAAACAAGATACGCTGGGAAAACTGACCCGGATCCCCCACCCTCTGTGCACTTCTGTATGCATGAAGATATTCATGTATATACTAATTTATATATTCATGTATATATATATATATATATATATATATATATATATATATATATATATATATATATATATATATATATATATATATATATATATATATATATATATATATATGTAAAGCATTTTAACTACTTTTCATTGTAGTGAAAAACATTTTAACTACAGTAAAATAATTTCCTTTTTTTTTTTGTTTGTTGATGAACTATAAGTTATACTTATAATTTTATATTTGTGTTTACAAACTTTAGGGCTATAATTTAATAAAATATCTCACTTTTTTTTTGACTTTAAAAATGTAATTTTTGGCTTTGAAAAATGTATATTTTTGTTAAAAACAAATCAAACTAATTTTTTAATTTACAGTCTTTATATTTTTAATAGCAATGGGCTTTGTAGATCATGTTCTCTTAACACAATATCTTCATAAATAGAAGATTACAAAATGTAAAAAATATTGCAGGTCCAGGGAAAAGACAGAGTATATTTCATACAGTCAAGTATATTTTTTCCACCACAATAGATTAAATAATGCAAAAATATAAATCCATAAGAAAGCCCGAATAATATGTTATTTGACATTATGTTTAAGCCTTTAAAATCAGAGCTTTAAAATACAATATAAGTGGTAAGTGATAAAATATTTTCCGATCAAAATGAGAAATAGAAAAAAATGCGTGACTTTAAAAATCTTATTTTTTTGTCCATTTATAAATGTGTTAAATAAAATTATAGAAATAAGAAAGATGAAAATAAATTAACTTTTCAATTTTAAGTTGGAAAGAGTTTTTTTACAGAGGAAAAGTTTATTTTATAAAATTAAGTTCTTTTTAGCACCATGCTAATATATATATATATATATATATATATATATATATATATATATATATATATTTTAGATGAATAAAAACAACTGATTAGCGGGACTTAAAGTTTCTTGCCCGAAGGCAAT